CCTTTTTACACGGAACCAGGACATGCATTCTCTTTACAACCACCCAGAACATCGTGTTGCATTTTTTTTGCCAGGTCAGCTCCTCACTCTGACTTGTTTCATTGCAGAAACAAACGGTTGGGAACAGGAGTCAGGAGTCTACAACCAGAAATAAACACAGAGGCTGAAGAAGAGCAAGCCTCAAGTACCTATTCAGTGCACAGTGCTGAACTTGAGTACACTGTGCTAGAGATGCATAGTTATGAATAATGCAGGGATCAAAAAAAGAAAGCAGCTAAAAAGCAAGGAGTATGATATTCTTGCACTTTTTGATATCTCACCAAAATTCTCTCTAGTACAATCATTTGCTTTCTAGCTGCAAGAGGTTGTTGTAACCAGAGGGATGAAATACAGCCAGAATAGTTCACTATCCTGATACTTCACCAGGAGAGGAAAACTGAGCGCTAGAGACAGAGGATGGAGTACAGCAGGACATCTGGAGACATGCCATGGGCACAAGGACCTGTCCAAGCAGCCCTTCCCTGCCCTTGCCCACACCACTCACTAAACTCCCCCAGTCCAACAGGGCTGCTATACATATGTAGGAGCAGAAGGTTGAGTGCTTGTGAAAAGGGTTTTGTCAAAACCAGGGCTATCCACGGACAACCAGTCCCCGTGCTGGATGTTTAAATGCCAGCCTTTGTTAATTAGGTACATGATCCCCCTTGTGAGCTCAGGCAGAGAACCCAAGCAGCACCAAAAGCTTTTTGTGCAAGTGCAGTATAAACAGTGGTGAAAAGCAGCAGCTCCTTCCCTAGGCAGCTCACACTTCAATGAAAAACTACACAAAAGCAACAAGCAAGTGGGAAGAAAGGAGAGATAACAGCTGGTCACACAAACATCTGGATTTATGACTTTTAAGGAAAATGGAACTCAGCTGTTCTACTCCTGTTTTATCTATGCCTGCTTTATTTCACTTGACAGGTCTCAAAACAAATAGGTGAAGAGGGAACTGTACCCCTCATCAGATGTTTCCTGTGGGCCACCCCAAGAATCTGTCTGGGTCTCGGGGCTTATCAGGCACTGTTTGTTTCCATTCACTGTCAGTCAAATTTGAAACATCACACAGCTGCAACCACCTTGACTGAAGGTGGTAACTTGGTTAGGAGAACTCACTCAAGCTGCATGGTTCAACATGCCTGAAGACCCTGCTAGGAGCAAAGACCACGGGCTCTCTGCTCTGCCCTCCTGCTCTTCCCAGCACGCGTGACCAATGGAGCAGAAATTCCCACCTGGCAGAGCATCAGGCAGACAGAGAATGATGGTGTTCCTCCTGCAGACAGCACCAGTGAGACCATCACTGAAGTGCTGCTTCCATGTCCGCTGTCACACGTCAGAAAGGCTGTTTACCATAAAATCTGATATGGACTCAGGATCTTATACTGTAGTGGTAATAGCTGTAGAGATATCTGAGTCCATTTATCTAAGAGAAAATTAAGGGCTGACTTGGCTCAAAATTACAACTGATAAAGAGGTGCCTAACCTAAAAAATGAAGATGTGAGGCCATTACTAGCTGGGATCTGTAGTTAGACACTTCAACTTATGAAATTTTGCCACAATTTACTTACTGATTTCTCCATCACTAAACTCTACATGAAGATGAAAGTTTTTCTGAAAGCCAAGCCAGAGTCCAAAGAAATATTGTAAAGTAAAACTTATTGTCATGAAAATGTCATGTCAATAATCCTTTTGAGTCTCAATACCACTGAATTACTATTATTTCCATTGTAAATTAACTCTTCTTCCCGGCTTCTTCAGATCCATAATGGAACTTGTATTCCAAGGCAACATGCAGATACAGCAAAGCAGCAAGAATGCATGGGTGAAACAGTAATTTAGCTCAGCAAAACTCTACAGCAGGATACATGCACAAGCAGCAAAAAAGGAAGAAGAAAAAAAAAAAGAGGATAAAAGTTTCATCCTTGCAAGCACAGCCAGGCCACCTCTCTAGTTGTATACAACCTGAAAAAGACGAGAGAGAAGGAAAGATACAGCCATGGAGACACACACAAGGCATTTTATTTAGAACGTTCTATTTCACTGTAAATCAACACTTATCCTTGGCCTGACACTAGGACTTTAAGACTTAGATCTGAAATGCCAGATCTACTCAAACAGACTGCTAATGCCTCATTTTTCTAGCACCATGCTCTGGTTGCTTGGTAAAACGTTACCTCCAATTTTACTTCCCTTTATTTGTGCATAGGGAGACAGTTGAAGTAATAGGCACCCTTATGGTGAAGAGGCTTCTGAGAGCTGAGGTGCTTTGGTCTAGGAGACTCTCCTTCCATGGCACAGTTTGCTCACATCAACTGTAGAAACAACGTGACACCACAGAAAAGGTTTGCTGCTGATTTTGGGTTTGTTTATTTATCCCTCAGGGAGAAGGCATAATATAGAGACAAGTGTTTCATACATTTTAACCAAGTGGAGTAAGTTAAGGCATTTTATTTATCATGCATCATTGGTTTTTTTTAACCCATTCTTCATTTAAGCTGTTATTCTACAGAGATCTGAATTCTCTCAGTAGGACTGAAAATGCCACCACACACAAAAGCTTCCTCCAAGCCACTGACGGAATAATTTGCACTTCCCTGTCCAACAATTTGAAACTACTTTCTTATAAAAATACTTACTGTTTACAAGCTTTGTTCATTTCAATCCTGAAAGATTCCTGAGATAATGGACACTTGAGGTTTTTTTTTTTTCCTGAGCCTGCCCTAAAATATTTGGCCAAAACCAGTCTAAACAGTATGAATGCAAACAACAAGCCTGTTGTTACAAAAGGTTTTATTATGTCCATCTGGGTAAAACCTTCTCTTCTGCTCCCAGGTAGCAGCCCATCACCACACGTCTGGGTCACAGGGCAGAGCCAGCGGTGGCTGAGGGGTGCTCACTTCCCACCTCTGGGGGGACTCCCGCCGGGCCTGGCTGTCGCTGCGCCCCCCACTTCACGGCGTGCAGCGCGTAGTTAACGGCCGTGCTCTCCGTCCAGCTCCACCGCCCCGAGAAGGGGCTGTACTGCATCCCATTCACCGTCCTCACTGAAAAGCCATCTGGAAAAGAAAGAGGCCACAAAGCAGCTGAGGCGCTTAAATGCTGTAAAGTGCTGCAACATCAAACCCTTTGGAACACCAGGTCTGGAACGGCCTCTTCCTCCGAGCGGGGGAGCCGTGCTTCACACGGCGGCCCTCACCAGACACCACCACAAGCAGCAGCACCCTGGTGACAGCGGGTCCTGCTATGGGCAGGAGCAGCAACAGCTCCGTGCCAGGCCAGGCACCACCCACCAGCGCGCTGTACGGTGAGCCCGGCAAAGTGGTGTGCTAGAAACCCCAGCTTCATGCCACCACCTGTGGGCGAGCACAACGTTTTCTGCAGGGGGAGACATTGTTCAGACTGACATCACACTTCAAAACCAAAACCTGAGGATATCGTTAGAAGGGTTCTGGAGATTCCCCTTCAAGAATTAAAAAATGCCAGTGGCAAGGAGAATGCCAGGGAGGCCTCAGTGCAAGTCACGAGTGATTTCACACTCCCTACTGAGCAGCTCCCAGTTCACTGCATGGCTCTGCTGTGCCCCACCAGCACACACGAGGGAAGGCAGAAAACAAACACTCTGTGAAAACAAATCACTCCACTGACTCCACTGCACCTGCTTCAGCTTTGGAAGGGAGAACAGAGAGAATTAGCAGCGTGTGAACTGGTGTTAGTCACGTTCCTTACAGCACCACTGCAAAGTGTCAGGGGAAGACCTTGGCCAAGAAAACAGCTCAACTCATACACCAACTTCTCTACAATGAACTAAAGCAGAATGAAATATTCAGTGAGAGGGTTTTAAAAAGTCTGCAAGGAAAGAAGGCAACGGGCAGAACTTGGCCCAGCTCAGTGCTTTGTCTATTTTAAAAGCAATCAAACTAGGGCAATTTAATTATTTCTTCAAATTGGTAACATACAGCTTCTCAAGAACTGACTAATGGATTTGTGGTATGTTTCATCTTCACATTTTTGCACGAATCTTTTAGGAACATAATATGGATAAAGAACATGGGGCAGCAACCAAAAATCAAACCACCTTGTCCCAAAGGGAAGATGACAAAGCACGTGGTGGCCGCAGTGCAACTCTCCAGTGGCAACAGTTGTTTTCTCAAACCTGACCTCGAGCAGATGCAGCACGTCAGAGTGTACAGTCTGTCACCAGGACAGGATGGAAACCCATGGAATTTTCACTTAGCTTATCAGAGGGCAGCTGTAACAGTGATTTTGCCTGAGTAACCTCTGTGGTTTTAGGACTCCACTTGGTTTATTCATTGTATGCAAAATCCAGTAAAGAGTAGTGTCTTCAAACCAGGAATGATACTCAGAATGTGTGTCTGGTAGCTCACCCAGGAAAAGCCTCCTGCTAGCACTCGCCCCACCCAGCTTATCCCTTGCCACCCCTGCAGGGACCACTTGGGCATCTCTCTGCATCCCCATCAGCTGGCTGCAACTTACGTGATTCCAGGAGGCGCTTCAGCTCTTCAGGAGGAACAAACTTCTCCCACTCATGTGTTCCCTCTGGTACAATGCCCATTATTTTTTCTGCAACCACAATTGCCAGGACATAGGACAACTGTGTTCTATTGATTGTAGTAATGAATAAAGAACCTTCAGGCTAATTAAAAGATTAAAATGTTCAGTTAGAATATTTTTTAAATGTAAATTTAATTGCATTAAAACACGTAATTTGTCTATCAAAAAGTCTACATGCTGCAAGAGTAAAATCTGATTTCATCACAAAATAGGTATCCACAAGTATACCATTTAAATGCATTAAAGAATGTAACATTCTTATAGTATGACTCAGAAGTTCTCAAAGAGTTGACATAATCAAAGTCTTAGCTGGTCTGAAAACCATCTCCTTGTCCAAAAAATATCTAACAAAATCACTTACAACACAAAATCGCCCAGGAAATGGATAAATAAAAGGTACTATGGTACGCACAATGCCTACTGTAAAAAGAAAGCTTTTTCTTTTTAATTAAAACTGAAGTAAAATGTGCAACACTGCCTAGTTTTTGAGGCTGCTGAATGCCGTGCTTGTTTTAATGTTTTCAAGGTCAAAAAAACAAAGCCAGGAATTAATTCTAAGTATTTAACAAACTATTTGGTAGAAATAAAGGACAATCTCTGCGTCCCCAGCAGGCTGAAAATTAGTAAACCATTCCATTCAAACAATCTGTATTCCTTGTGATGACCAGAAAGATCTATCAAGAGAGTAAAGGAAAGCTGCTGCTTGTGTGCCAGGCCTACCATCCCTCTTTACAAACTAAATAATACTAAGGAATAAAACACCACCCGATTATCTCCAAGCCTAACTATGACCCTTTAAAAGTAACCCAGGAGCAGATCTGATGTCATGCTAGAGCTGGAATAGAATCTCCCGACTCAGAAACATCATTACAGTCAGCTTCAGCACAGTCTGAGCCACAGCTGTCCATCAACAGCAGCTCTGTCACATTTTCTCTCACCCAGGTGAAATCAGATGCAACCAGATTTCTTAAAAGTCCTGACACAAAGCAACACCACAGCGCTTGGCAATGCCACCAACACCTTCCTAGGGTGGGGCTGGGGAAATAAACTCCCTCCAATTTCAGTTACTGAACTTGGGAAGATGTGTTTGCATCAAAGAGGAAAAAGGAAGGCACCTCTAGAGCATGGTTCAGACTTCAAGGGGGAGCAGTGAATGCAGACGTATGTGTTTTCACCTTCCTTCAAATGAAAGCTTTAGTAATAAAAGGGAATAAATATTCCCAATAATGAAAGCAAAAATTCTCTTACCTTTAACACCTGACAGCAACACTTGATAAACAGTTCAAGGTCAGTCACATGCTCCACTACTTCAGAAGCTACAATTACATCAAAGGTTTCCACAGACTCTTCCACAATCTCCTCCAGTGTACTGGACTTGTACTGTATTCTCTTGGCCAGGACCGGATCAAATGACTTGTGCTGATCTGCCGTTCTAATGTTGTCCTCCAGAGGATCAATTCCAGTAACTGAAGCTCCCAGTCTACCTAGAGGCTAATAATAGAGAACATAATTTATTCTCTGCATGAAAACAATTTACTTAACGGTGCCTGCAACTTTGCAGCATCCATACATGACACAGGAAGCACCCACCCCAGAACAAGACAAACATTAGTAAGTGATAAGCCCTGATCTGGCAGTTTTATTTTAAGTGTCTATTAAAGCAAGAAAACCCTTAGATTTGGGGGAGGTGGTGTTAATTTTCTCAGAAAATTATATACTGGAATATATGCATTTAAATTGTCTTTTCAAATAAATAATTCTGAATACATTTTGTTACACCAAATAAAGATGTCCTCCACCATTACTCTGACAGAGGAAAAACAAAGTGGGAAAATCAACACAGTACTTAAAGGGGGGAAAACAATGCCATATTTAATTACTGTCATTACTTTCTTCAACATCCATCTGTAATGGTAAATCCTCATATCTTTTTAATGGTTACTTAATACATTATTATCTCTGGGACATTCTCACTGCTGAGAACTAAACACTGATGTTTACTAGGATAGCATCAGGCTTGGCTGTCACTCAAGTTTCTCCAGTGTCTTCTTACTCATAGGTTAACACCTCAGCCATCACCTCTTCTGAAACTGAAACAGGCTGCAGAACATGACCACAAGTATGTTATTCCAACCTGAAATTCACTGGTGGTTCAGCCTGAGGAGGTGATACATCACACCACTTTTGCCAGCCTTGTCGGAGAGCAGGCTCTCACAAGCCTAAAGGATTTTGCTCAGAATAAAATTAAAAAGAAAACACAGGGAAGGATTCAGGTCCCTCTGTAACACCTCATTTCAGATGCTGATGAAGTTCGCAGAGAAAGTCAGACGGATCTGCAAGCCTAAATTCACAAACATCCCCAGACTACTGATAGGACGGGACACTGTCCAGAGCCTGTACAGCCAAAAGGTTCCACCACAAACAGTTACTTTTCGGTCTGAAGCTTGTGCAGACTCCTTGGGAAGCAGCTGTAACATCAGCCCCTGTACCAGGAGGACCTCCCCTGACAGAGGGCAGGAACGCCACGGGCATTGGACGTTATTCCGTCCTCTTCCCACGAGATCAAAGCAAAGGTGAGAATCCCCACCCTAATATAAGAAACTGAAGATAAGCAATTCAAAGAAAGCAGTGAGTAAGAACAAGTTTATAACAGAAAATACTTCTCAGGTAATGAGGATTGTTACAATGAAAAGTATTTCTTGCCTAGGCTCGTAAATTAAAAAAGGCAAAAAAAGATAAACATGTTGTCATACTGTGACTGCCCAGAGGAATACTCCAAGACTTTCACATCATTCTTTCCCTCTCCTTTTCTTTACAGTGTTTAAAATTTTACTGTTCTGATGAACCTCAGAATTTTTAGAATTTCTCATTATCAACTCACTCCTTTTCTGCAAACCACCACCATGGTGCAAAACAAATACTGAGTGGGGTCTGTGGAGTGCGCTGCACTCCAAAACACTCAGAAACTGATACACCATGAGAGGGTTGGAAACTAAGCAGTGCAGAAGTAAAACAATTCAAATACTCTGTACGTTTTTTAACAAGAGAAACACAAGCTCTCTTTCATACCTCACTCAGCAGTCCACCACCACAGCCAACGTCAAGAATCTTTACCCCAGAAAGTGGATTTCCCAGGTGGTAATTGCTACTCATGTTCAACAGAGTATCTCTGAAAGAAAATGGATATGGCTTAGGGGAAACACACAAGATAGTTTAGGAGATGCAGTTATCTTAAGTACTGGAAATTAATTTTCTTTTGCAGTGTTTTCTGAGGTTATGCAGAAATAGTACATGTTAAAAAAACCCCAAACATCTGTCTTCAAAACCGTACCTAATAAATGGCACTCTAATATCATTCATAGAATGAAGGGCTGAATATTCTCCTTCTTCATCCCACCATTTATGTGCAAGGAGCTGGAATTTTTTCATTTCTGTTGAATCCACTGACGAGCGAGAAGTGCTGAGAAGTCTCTTCACAGTGAACCTGAATAATTAAAGCTGAATGTCATAAAACTAGTATCCATATTTCATGTCAGCTGAAACATGGGGGAAAAAAATTCTGTACCGGAAAATGAAAATAAAACTCATGTTCCTTTAGACTGGATTTATACTTATTGATAATCAACAGATTTTATAAACAGTATGTGTAACATATCTTCCAAAACAGGTGGTTGAATACCTGTAACTTTTAAGTTAGTAATAAACCCAAAAGAGGCCACATCAAACATTTAATCTTTTGTGAGATTTAAAAATTACTTCATGTGATACTGTCACGAAGTAAAATTTAAACTGTTGTAGAAAGTGATCGTCCTTGCCATGCAGGGTTATTTTAGATATTTAGGTATTTAGGTATTTTAGCACTTACATGCTGCTTTTTACTCCAGCGAGAGAGACAGGCAGAATGCTACTGGATTTCAGCTGTGTTTTCCAGCTGTCAATCTGAAGGGCACCTCTTGGGCCTGTCTGAATAGATAGGTCAGCATCGTTACCTGCATAAATAAAAGAAAGGCAATCGAATGGAAAACATCAGAAGAGCTCAGAGGGAAAAAGCCCAGCTTAGCAGTGCTGCGTCAGAACACTACCACTAACCAGGCGAACCTTTACACACTTTCTCACTATCGTACTCGGGGAGTGTGTGGGGAGAAGTGAAAGAGCAAATGCCAGCTCATGCCCCAGAACTTCTCCAGCTACCTACGACGTTTTCCAGAGAATGAATGAAAAGGAACTTTTAATGCAGCTGAAATATTTCAGTTAGTGAGGATTTCACAGGCTGTGCATACACACACACACACACACA